CAAGGTCCCTAGCTGGCAATAAGATTCCAAACAGCTAGGAGTGAACATATACAGTTAAACTTAAAGATTAACATTTCAGGTTAGTTAAACATTCAGTCAGATCATGAACTTTCTATAAGTAAACTATCCTGAAAACTGTCAAGCACCTATCCCTAAATTTTCCATTAAGACAATTTCCTGGAACAGGTAAACAGATAGCTATAATTTCAAATTTTTCATATCACAAAATACAAATTCAGCATCAAGGAAACTATAGGCGGTCGGAAAAAGCAGCATATTATAGGAGCCAACAGTTTAACAAATTTTCACAAGAAGAAAACATTCAAAGATAAACAGCCTCAGTTTAAGATATTGAAAAAAAAATACTACAATCAATAAACAAATCCTACTTTTTACTCCACCCACTCTTATTACAACTTTAATTGCCAAACTGACAATTAAGCATGTTAAGTTTTTCTAAGCATTTTTATCTCATTTAAAATGCATTAAAGCTTTGCCAAGTTAATGAAATGAATTATAACTGATGAGCAGTGCTTCTCTTTTTTTTCTTGTTTTATTTTAGTTCTTCCCCTAAAACTCATTAATAAATCAGACCTGGAGAAATATACCTGATTCTTCAGATGTTGGCAAGGTATCAAGTTATAGTAAATATGATGTTATCAATTTAACTCTAAATAAAACAAGAACTTGCATTTTCACTTGCTTACAGTAAAACAAAATATTGATTAATTGCTTTAATCTGGGCAGGATTTTTTTCATTAAGTCACAATTGTTTTCATTATGTACAAATGTAAAATTGCCAATTTACCATTTAATACACTTGTTTAATTAAAACCATGTTTAATTAAGATCATGACATCAACAACCCTTTATGATTATGGTCATTCTTAACAGAGGTAACTTTAACAATTTTTAGCTTTAGTCATTCTAAACAAAGGCAATTTTAATATTTTAGCTTATTCATTTAGCCTGCTTAATTGATCTACTCATTCAACCAGTGCAGACCAAGATTTGAGCCAGTATATCTGTGCCATCTGTACATCGTCTGCACTGTAATTCTGTCTGGTATAAATATAATGTACCTAAAACTTCTAAACCTTAATTACCTTTAGTAAACAACTTCTTAGTTCATAAACTAAACTGTACTGAAAATTCTAGCAAGCTGATTGGCTCCCTGATTTTAAATAGATTTGAAAACCAACCAATTGGAACAGATAATTTCAAATTTTACTGTTGAGTTGATTAAATCTTGTACCTTTTAGGCAGTTAATGAACTTTCTATAGCAAGCTACATTTAATTGGCAAAGGAATTAACTTTGTATTTATATTAACTTAAGGCAGTCCGACTTAAGTGCAAGGGGAAATTACTGAATTATTCACATGATACTGATGAAAACATTACCTCCCTTGTATTCTGTTAAATAATTGTTATCAAGAAAATATGAAAATAAAATTAACTCTTCAAATTGAAATAGAAACCAAGAATATGATATTTAAACCTTTGATGTAAATTCAAATAAATTATTAATGCTTAAAAGCAGAAAAATGACTTACCACAAGACTGTGTCTAAAAACCTGCCTTAATGTGTCTTAAATATTACAAATAATGCTATATTAATAACTATCTTTATATTTACACTCTTCAAACAACCTTATTTCTTGTTCAGTGACAAATAGTTTAATGATACAATATAAAGTAAGTCTTTAATTTTTTATCTCTAATCTCTACATATCATCAGATACTTGTTAAGTTGCTAAAAAAATTGACATCAGTAATCAAGTTGGCGCTAAAACACAAAATAAAGCAGTGAAGTTGGTGCTAGGATATTATTAAAACTAGACACAAATTCTCACATATCTACAAAAGGCAGTCCAAGAGATGACCCATATTTCTCGGTTCAGCTTTTCATTTCTATGCAAAGACTTGTTAATGAAATTTAATCAAACAATTTTGATATGTAAAAATCACAGTATTTTCTGGGTGGTAGAGAAAGTAATTTGTACAGACTTGCTTTATTTAATCAACTACAACAAAAGCATCTAGTGTGGCATACCACGGAGGTTGAAGAATGGGTGGTCTTGCAGAAATATTAAACTAGAAATATATGACAATATAACATACTAATTAGTCACCTAAGATATTGATGAAAAATTATATCAAATTGGACTGGAAACTAAATGTTCAATTCTAAATGATTATCCAAACAATTTGTGGAATTCCAAAAAAAATTTAAAAAGTTTAAAAATAGAATAAACAAATAAAGATCAACCATAAACAGTGATATCAACAAGAGCCACCGCTGGGCGGGGGCAACGCTCGACTTTTTACTTTTTCTAAACGCAAACATAGAAAGGTTTGAACATATATTGATGTTTCCTTTTTATAAATTTAGTTGGTCTGTCTTGTCACATTAGTTTTGTTTATATATTTTGTATATATATGAATAGAAACATTAAGCATATTTCTAAAAATAGCAACAGTACGCAATTTCTAAAAATAGCAACAATGACGCAATTTCTAAAAATAGAAAAAAATGACGCAATTTCTAAAAATAGAAAAAAATGACGCAATTTCTAAAAATAGAAAAAAATGACGCAATTTCTAAAAATAGAAACAATGACGCAATTTCTAAAAATAGGGAAAAAATGACGCAATTTCTAAAAATAGAAAAAAATGACGAAATTTCTAAAAATAGAAAAAAATGACGCAATTTCTAAAAATAGAAAAAAATGACGCAATTTCTAAAAATAGAAAAAAATGATGCAATTTCTAAAAATAGAAAAAAAATGACGCAATTTCTAAAAATAGAAAAACATGATGCAATTATATACATGTATATATATGTATATATATATATATATATATATTTGATATATATATATATATATTTGATATATATATATATATATACATGCATATATATATATATATATATATATATATATATATATATACCTGCATGTATGTATATATATACACACACACATTTATATATATATATATATATATATATATAATACATTTACTATACATACACACACACACACCAATAAATGCACAATCTGAGAAAATTCAGTAATATAACCTTCAAGGTCAAGGTCATTAAAGAGCCCAAGCAAATTTGGGTTTGATAAACAACAAGGTCTGGTCCTTAAGAATGTTCTGTTATAATATGAAGTTTATCCCTTCAAAAATAGCAAAGTTACAGTCAGTTACTGCCAAAACAATGAAAATTTCAATAATTTGACCTTCAAAGGCAATGTCATTAATGAGTGAATGTCAAGGTCTGGCTGGTTATTTTTAAGGGATATCCTTGAAGATTATTATGTTCAAGTTTGAAGACAATCCATTCAAAAATAACAAAGTAACAGCCAATAACAGCATGAACAAGCAAAAATTGGACTTTTAACCTTGAAGGTCAAGGTCATTTATGGATGAAGGTCAAGGTTAGTGTGGTCTACTGAAAGGTCTTGTCCCAAGGGTTGTTGTGGCCAAGTATGAAGACAATACACCAAGAAATAAAAAAGTTATGATCCAGGTACAAGTTTTCGGACGGCAACGGCAACGGAGACGGCAACGCCGACCTGACTATAACAATACCTCTACTTTTTTTTTCAAAAAAAAAAAAAAAGTCGAGCTAAAAATGAATGAACAAATTGTAATTGACTATTGTTAACTTAATGATATCAATGCTAAAATTAATCATTAACTGTCACTGAAAATAACCTTATGTCCCCGAAAAGATGCTTTGACAAAAAATCTGCAATATATGCTAAAATACCCGTTATACCCGCAAGACCGCCTATGATAATATCATTCCTAAAATTTCATTTATTCCATAAAAGCAGCGTTGGAGAAAATAGTCTAAAGAAATTTTACTAAAACAAGTTGTTACTAGTTATAGCTCTGCCCGCAATATGCACAACTTAGGATGGCACTCAGATCTATTCTGTGAAATTTCACTGTATTTCCCCAACGGTTTTGAAAATGAAGCACGGACAAGATTACCAGCCAGACAGTCAGTGCGATTACTATAATATGCCTCCCTTTCGGGATATAAAAATATCTTGAGTGAGTGAAAACTGTGTTAGTTATTATTATCAAAATTTAAAATTGACCATCTGATAATTATATCAATCAAAGACTTTAAGCGCTGATGGAATTTTGAAAGATTTATACCTTTTAGTGCTCTCTCAAAGAAACATTTCTTTAGGAGGAAATAGATCCAAGCAAAGTCACTTAAAAAAGCTTCTTGATTGCAACCAGTGTACCCCTCACGGTGACTATATGGCAATATAATGCTAATGTACTGATTAGCGGAAGATATCTGCTGCTGATAGTTTAAGATCTGGCTAGACAAAGGATTTGTGCATGTTAGGAAACAAACAACAATTTTTTATTGAAACCCACAAAACGATGTTCTGCAGTATTTAAATGAAATAGCAAAATTAATTATTTTTTTCAAGAAATTAAGTTTTTTTTTTTTGGAAGATAAGAAAGCAATTTAAAACTTTTCAAAGTCAAATCAACAAATTGCTACTCAATTCTAAGCGTTTGATACATCATAACGGAAGAGTTTAAGTCCATTCAAAAATAGATGCAGGGCTGTTTCATTATACAAATTTTATTAACTGAACGGGTACAGTAATGGTCATGTAGCTAAATGGATTTGAAGCAACTCTCTTTAAGTCTACTAGTGGCAACTGCTTCACCTATACAACCAGTTTGAGACCACAATCAGCAAGCACATCCATGGTTTCCAATCATGGTCGTCACTGTTTGCTATTCAGTCAGTGCATATCCATAAAGCATGAACACAATAAATTGGTTATGTCCAAATTGAAAGATTGACAAGTCAATTTTAGATATTTAGCAGGATAAAGGTAAACTAATGAAACTGATCACCTTCTAGTGTTAAATGTAAAGTGTTCCATATAAATAATGTAATATGCAATTGATCTAACAGTCATGCAATAATTCAAGTTTGATTATCTAAGTTATGCCCAAGCAATCGTTGTTTGGAGGGCTGGAGACCAATGTCAGTGATAAGTATGTCACCTCAGAGCTTTGGCATACAACATTTCTTCCATTTGGAAAAGGTACAACCATTCTACAACTGAGTGTAATCTTGTTAAATACTCCAAACAAAATGGCTCAACAATCTTTCTGATGAGACTTAAGCATTTTAAGTATGGAAAATCGAGACATACATTGTAAATGGTGGCGCCCGACTAGAACTGACACTGAAAATTTCATTGATAGGTATAGAATTCTATATATTTTTTAATTGTTTTTTATTTGATTTTCTTTTAAATATTCACGCGTAGTCTATAGCCGGGCAAGCAAGCTTTGCGGGCCCGGTCTTTGACTTCCAAGTATAATACAAGATTATACCATACCTAAATTATTAAACCCTTAAATAATATTTCTAAATGTAGTGAACATTAATCATTAAAAGGTTGATTACATTTAGCTGCCATTTTGTACATTAACTTTAACCTATTGGAGTTAAAAGAGACTGAGCCTCTGTTAACATTAGATAGCTACTGGCCAGCCGTCATTTCTGCGCAATGTGAATCGGGCATTTGGGGTACGATTCCCAGACCTGCAGGTCTATTTTGTGGTGATTTATCATGAAATCCTTTTTAAGGTCATTCATACTGTACCTCTGCTCTGGCATGTACAAATAAGTTATCAGTTCCTTGCGTATGTGAAGGCAACTAGTACAGGTAAACTGCTAATGACAGCCTGCCTAGGAACGATATGTGCCTGGCTGAACTGTTCTCTGGTAAATTCAAAGAGGCTTTACTGCTGTGATCCAGAGTGAAAATTAATATCACCACCAGCTTCTGTGCATCGTGACCACATGCTCTATAATGTTGGTGACCTAATTTTTGTTTGAATGATTGACTGATTGATTGACTGATGCATTCATTCATTCATTCATTAAATATATGAATAACAATAGCAAAAACATTACTCAACAAGATTTTGATATTGAAATCTCTTTAATTTTGTATGGACTGTTTAGGCAAATCAATCATAAAAATTCAGCAGTTTAATATACTGCATGATAAACCAGTATAATTAAATACAAAGTGAAACATTTTACCTAAATAAACATCAACTCTAGTGCACTGATAAAAACATAAAATAACCAAAACTGTATAAAAAAAATTCTTTTAAAGTCAAGGAAAGGTAAATTTGAAGTAAAACTATTATTCAATGATCCAAGCAAGTAATTATGTTACCAATCTTTTGGTAGTTCTCCAAACTGAGATTTTTTCTCCCGCCTACAACTCTTTTAACTATTGCAAACAGGTGCAAAAACAACCATACCATTCTAAACATTGCTACCACAAAATTTCGCCAATAAATATCATTGTGTAACAATAGTGAAGTGTTAAACAATACAACATCAATAGAATATTACCTTCTGCCACTCGTTTCATTTTGACAGTAGTCCAAAATTATTTACTGATTAAATTCCAACATTTTCTACTTGCTCTGCATAATGCATCACTCCTGATCAAAACACTAGCCTTGTATTTTCTCAGCTATATTGTAAAACACCTGTTCACTGCATACATAATAAACATGTTCTAATCAAAAACCTTAAAAGTAACCCAAAAGATACAATCTCAAAATCATTTGCAAGATATTCAAACTGTGCAAAGGTATTTCTATCTTTAACAGATCTCTTTAGCCGATGCATCAAAGACTTAGAATTCAGTGTTTGAAAATCCAATTCCTTTTTTGTTGTTGTTGTTGTTTCACAAAGTTAATAATGACAAAAAAAATTGACAAGTTATTTAACTTTAAACAACCGAAAGACTCTTACAAATTCCGATTGCCAGCAATACAATCGGGGAAAAGCGTACTAATCAATACGACAAAGTCTTGAGCACTTCTAAATATAGCTCGCCATCGCACTGTAGAATTTATTGTATTACGGGCCAGCAGTATCTGTCAAGAAATTGTCAATAATCTGTTACTATTTATAATCTCTGCTACAGCTCTATGACAGCCTCCCAGGAATTGTGTTACTAAATATAGCAAATCCTATTACAAGCTTACAGAGCTCCCCAGGAAGAAACTTTCTAAAAATAGCAATCCTATTAAAGACCTCTGGTGTTTAGCAACGGGCAAGAGGTGTGCATGATCTATGACTTAATTGATAAAATTAATAACATAATCACATGGAAAGATATATTAAATGAATAAATAATTCAGAAAAATATATGGTTTATTATAAACTACCGCAAACTGTGCCCTCTTTTTCATCTTTCAGATTATCCATCTAAGAAGAGTTTCTACTTTTAATATGTTGCTTTAGAAAGAGGTCTGATTTCCGATTATTATACTGGTAGCTGAGTAGAATCACAAACATTCTGTACACTAGCTGGATAGCTTTTTCACATGAAAGAATCCCAAAGATGCTTGCGCAGCTCGTGCACAGTGGTGAGAGGCAAGTGGTTTAATGTCAACGGTCATAACCACTTGGCCAAGGACGCCGCTAATAATGATTGAATTGCACCCTGACGATGCAATTCTGGCAATATAGCTAGGTGGCCATTAGTTAAGTCAACATTCATGTATATGTTAGTGTTCATTCGTGCTGTTCTACAGAAATTAGAAACTTCGACAGGAGCGATAGCAACAGGAGAATATTTCTAATTTTTGTAGAACAGCTAAGGATGAACACTAACATATTTAGTGTCAAGCTTTATTTGGCCCTTGATTATGTCACTACGCGGTAAGTACTGTGAAGCACTATGAAAAATAGAAGGCGACTATGAACGGATTTCACTATAGTATCGATTTTTTTTCATCTATGAAAATTAACACACATAATTTTTAAGAAATACAGCGTTTTCATTGGATGACAAATAAAGCTGGACACTAAATATATATAACATCACATTTGCTAATTTTATCTCTAAAAAGTATAGCATTTTTTTGGGTTTTCTTTTACTAAATAAACAATTAACCTTCTGGTATTAGTGATTAGCTTTTGCCACAATTAGCCTGCACGACAGTGTCGTCTTCTCTTACTCAAGCTCAATTTTTGTATCCCATTAACTTTGAAAAGACCTCTCCAACATTCAGATCTAGGCAAATTTATTACGCAAATTAAGCATGATTTTCATACTAATGATTAAAATAACATTTGAATCCGAGTCTGTATAGGTAACCTAGCCATCCTACTAGTATAATATTACATGGTTTTTTTTTTTCATGTTCATTGAATTACAGCAGTTATCCTACCTTTATAACAATCAACTTTCTAAAGGATTAAAATATTTACATGAAAAATATATAAGTATCTTATTTAAAAAATTTTGAAGAAAAGGTTTTACCATCTAGTTATGAGTAAGAGATGAAAAAATTACAGTTTAACACCTGTAAAAAACATCAATTAAATTTGGCATTAAATTTTTAAGAAATGAAACTTAATGTTTAGAGTTCTAATGGGTGAACCTATTTTAAATCTTAACACTTTATACATGTTATGGCATTTCACATTAAAATTAATACAATATAATTTATCGCATTTAATGTTACATCAATATCTCTTAATATATTGTAATGGCTAGCTCAAACTGTTCTGTTTCCACACTTAAATAATTGTTTATATAGATAATTAATATCTTTAACTTTCCCATTGCATGGACATAGTTTTTATTTATTTATATTTTCTGTATTTAAATCCTGCAGATTCTATATAATTTTTGACTGTATCATACCCTATCCCTGAGATGTCTTGAGCTATTTTTAATGAAAGAAAAAAATTATAATTAAGACTCTTAGAAACCTAAATATAACTTTCACAAACAAGTGTCTTACTGTGTTGAAATTTCTTTCATGAACTGATGACTTTTAGAAGAAAATTAATGGACTTTTCATTTAGTTTATGAAATATCTAAAGTTCATTAATGAATTCACCAAAATCATTAACCAAAATGTTTATAAATCAAAGTGTTTATGAGCTGTTCATCAACACAGTTTGTAAACAAAGGGTTTGTGAACTGTTCATGAACAACAGTTCCGTTCATTGATCCATGAATAGAAATTACTATCTATTTTTCAATAACAGATCTAGAGCATAGAACAGATCTGACAAGTATTTACTACAAGTAATAGTTCAAGCAGTACTATTGGTTCAAATGTGCTAAAACAAAAAATTTGTATATACCACTGCTTACTTATAGACCAAACATGCTAACAGGCCAAACATAAAGGAAGTAATAACCAATATAGAATCCGTAACTTAGGGTCAGTGACCAAGCAGCCAATATTTTTGAAAGCAAAACCACAGCACTTTCAATTTTGGGTACTTTTTCACAATTATAATAATTAACTACCCTGCTCGAACTGAAAGTAACCAACGTTTGCCACCAGTATACAGCCAGACCACTGAAAGTGACAAACCTTTGCCACCAGTATACAGCCAGACCACTGAAAGTGACAAACCTTTGCCACCACTATACAGCCAGACAACTGAAAGTGACAAACCTTTGCCACCAGTATACAGCCAGACCACTGAAAGTGACAAACCTTTGAGCCAGACCACTGAAAGTGACAAACCTTTGCCACCAGTATACAGCCAGACCACTGAAAGTGACATACCTTTGCCACCAGTATACAGCCAGACCACTGAAAGTGACAAACCTTTGCCACCATTATACAGCCAGACCACTGAAAGTGACAAACCTTTGCCACCACTATACAGCCAGACAACTGAAAGTGACGAACCTTTGCCACCAGTATACAGCCAGACCACTGAAAGTGACAAACCTTTGAGCCAGACCACTGAAAGTGACAAACCTTTGCCACCAGTATACAGCCAGACCACTGAAAGTGACATACCTTTGCCACCAGTATACAGCCAGACCACTGAAAGTGACAAACCTTTGCCACCAGTATACAGCCAGACCACTGAAAGTGACAAACCTTTGCCACCAGTATACAGCCAGACCACTGAAAGTGACAAACCTTTGCCACCAGTACACAGCCAGACCACTGAAAGTGACAAACCTTTGCCTCCAGTAAACAGCCAGACCACTGAAAGTGACAAACCTTTGCCACCAGTAAACAGCCAGACCACTGAAATTGACAGACCTTTGCCACCAGTATACAGCCAGACCACTGAAAGTGACAAACCTTTGCCACCAGTAAACAGCCAGACCACTGAAAGTGACAAACTTTTTTTGCAACCAGTATACAGCCAGACCACTGAAAGTGACAAACCTTTGCCACCAGTAAACAGCCAGACCACTGAAAGTGACAAACCTTTGCCACCAGTAAACAGCCAGACCACTGAAAGTGACAAACCATTGCCACCAGTATACAGTCAGAACACTGAAAGTGACAAACCTTTGCCACCAGTAAACAGCCAGACCACTGAAAGTGACAAACCTTTGCCACCAGTAAACAGCCAGACCACTGAAAGCGACAAACCTTTGCCACCAGTATACAGTCAGACCACTGAAAGTGACAAACTTTTGCCACCAGTATACAGCCAGACCACTGAAAGTGACAAACCTTTGCCACCAGTAAACAGCCAGACCACTGAAAGTGACAAACCTTTGCCACCAGTAAACAGCCAGACCACTGAAAGTGACAAACCATTGCCACCAGTATACAGCCAGACAACTGAAAGTGACAAACTTTTTTTGCAACCAGTATACAGCCAGACCACTGAAAGTGACAAACCTTTGCCACCAGTAAACAGCCAGACCACTGAAAGTGACAAACCTTTGCCACCAGTATACAGCCAGACCACTGAAAGTGACAAACCTTTGCCACCACTACCAGGCTCTATACTGTTGGTACCTTCATTTTTGTATTTTGAAATTGAAAACCCATGTACTGCTCTAAACTGAAAACTTACAATCACATAAAATCAGCAGTTAAGGGTTGAGAACACCAAAACATAATTGATCTACTATTGACTTTATAGAAAATCAGTAGCTTAAGGGTTTAAGTGCAGGTTGAGTCTCTTTATAAAGGTCTTGCTTTTTCTCATGAGTAAAACAATAGACACCATATTTTCTATATAGACATCACATCAGTTAAAAGGCTGAGGTATAACAATTACTTTCAGATTACTAAATATTTTTTTCATTAAGGCTAGTCATTTATCTTGCAATTCAAGAGTTCATGCTAATTCTTAACATGCTTAATATCTTTTAAGGAATTTAAATGTCCATCATTCAATCTGGATAAAAATTGTCAAAATTTCAATATGTACTGACAATGCAGACCATGATCATACAACTGGTCTGATCTGGTCTGAACTAGTTGCATGATTATATTCAATTGAAGTCAGCAAGTTAACACTTGTACTAAGTTATAGCTGAACACACATATTACTGTGAACACAACTTCAGAAAATAAAATTATGAAGTGCAATTTTCTCTAATCTTTACAATATTTACAATGAACTGGTTTCTCTTCTATGAAAAAAGTTAATAATCCTTTTCTTAACATATAAATGTTATTATGACTTAAGACTCAAAGTAGTTGCAGAACACAGATATTTGGCTAAGAGCTCAAATTACTTATTTCATATGCCTAAGTGCAACTCACCTTGCGGAGATATTATAGTAAGACAGCACACTGGACTACTAGTGTTTGGTAGTTAAACAAGATTGTATTCCAATAATGCACATAATTTATTTCATAGTCATACATGACATGACAAGAGTTCTAGGCATTCATCAAATCATAAAACTAATAAAAGAAAACATGTGTGTCTTGGACAGTGACCTCTAATTATAATTCCAAAAAACTTGAATTTAGTTTCAACTGAATACCATCAATACTGTTAAGCAGCCTTCAAAACTTTAACCAAACATTTGACAAAGGGCTATAATCCAGTCATAGTGATGTCAGAGGTATGGACCTTGGGGAGTGACCTGTAATCACAATTCTAAAGACAAACAAGAAGATGCAAGTGAAAACTTCAGTTCTTTTGAAGACTGATGCTGCCACCAGCAATTCTATAAGTTGAGAAAGGGTCATACCATTTTTCAAAATCCATGCTAAGTTATGGGCCTTAATCAGTTACCTCCTGTTATAATCTCAAATAAGTGTGTGATGTCGCAAGCTTACATCTTAAGTGGACAGTGATTTTTGTGCTTAGATAACAGGCTCCGATTACAGGCCTCTTCCCGATTGAAATTTTCTTTAAAATCATGCAGTTTTCTCAAAAATCTCAACTTAAACCTGCTTTTTTACTTCCCAAATTAGCAATTATTACGATCATATTTCCTAAAATCAAGTGGCTAAGGCCTCTTGAAAAAGTGAAGTGAAAAAAATCACTGGTGGATGATGAGATAACGATGTTGTTAAAATAAATTGCACATTAAACTTTAATGTCATACCAATATTTACGTCAGGTGAGTAAGATAACCTCACTATTCCTTGAATAGTCCAGCGAAAAGAAAAGAAATAAAGTTTCTGATGCTTTACCTCCATAGGGAAAAGACTAGGAATTTTAAAGTAGTTCCCTGTTCCATGTCAAATGGTCTTGTTACTAATTACAAGAAAGTAAGTCATTAGTTAGAATTACCAATGACACGAAAATAAATTAGTACTCCCACAATAATCAATTAATGAACATTATGCTTGGCTGAAATCTAGAACAGTAATCATTCATTTCTTAGAACAATTCTGTGAAGGAAGCATTTGGGCCGCGTCACGACAAAACCAACGTAATGCGTTTGCGACCAGCATGGATCCAGACCAGCCTGCACATCCGCGCAGTCTGATCAGGAACCATGCTGTTCTCTACTTGTTATAGGGTTTGTAAGCGAACAGCATGTTTCCTGATCCGACTGCGCGGATGCGCAGGCTGGTCTGGATCCATGCTGGTCGCAAACACATTATGTTGGTTTTGACGTGACGCGGCTCATTTCACTTTGATGTCATTGCTGTTAAAATACCATCTTAAATCCAGTTTTTCTCTAGAGATTTGTACAGTTACAAAGAAATAATTCAAAAAGATGATTATTTACATACCATACATAGCTGTAAAGTGAAAGTTGTTCTAGGAAATAATGACTGTAGAGACATAAATAGTGCAAACAATACACCTATAATCTTCATGCGCTTTAATTTGTGCCTAGTTATTAAATTTTCTGCTACATGTATGTCTTAGAGGACAGGAATGTGTGCATATTAAAAGAATTTAATTATCTATAAGCTCTAGTTACCTGACATTGAAGGTAGGAGCACGAGTTGTGCATGTGAAACATTGTCTACATGTTTTCATGAAAAACGTTTTCTAGGAAACATTAAAAATCTTTTAATGCTGGATATAGTTGCAATCTTGATAAATACTGTGGCATTGGACAAACATCTGGATAGACAAGAGATTTTCAAATGTTCACCTTTTGTGGCTACTATATTTTACAATCTACTGAACAAGAGTTTAAAGTATCTAACAAGATGTTTACAGAATAAAGGGGCATAATTCTATATATGAAATTTGTCATGGGTTACAGACCCTGTTACAATTCTACAAAAATGACTAACCTATAGGTTCTTGGAAGCCAGAATCCACGCTGCCCTTATAGTCCAGCTTTCTAGGTACGCCATCTACAAACAAAAAACACAAAATCGTTTTTTTTTCCATTTTGCAATTCAAGGTCAAGTTTTAAATCAAACCTGTCTCATCACTCCAATTCCCCATCTACACCACTACATAACCAACATCATACAGAGCCTCTCTGAGCTAAAACTAGAAATGTGTCCATAGGACACGGGTGCCCCCACCGCGCCACTGTTCTGTCAATCTTTTTACTAAGTCAAGGGAAATTACTCTACAAATACTGGATAAATCCACAAGCAAAACCCCAGGTGCAAATCTAAAATATGCTGAGCAACCTGCCTATAAGGTTAAATGACTATGTCAAATCCTTTTTGAGAAACTTGCGACACAAGTTGAAAATTGCAAAAATTTTCTAAGTGAAGGGCAATAACTCTAAAAATACTAAATAAATACAGACGAAAATACCTGGTGCATAACTGCACATGCTAATCAATATTCCTGTAAAGTTACATGACTCTAGGTCAAATACTTTTTGAGTTACCTGCGACACATGTTGAAAATTGCAAAATTTTACTAAGTCATGGGCAATAACTCTGAAAATACTAAAAATATCAAGACGAAAATACCCAGGTGCACAACTACACATGCTGATCAACATTCCTGTAAAGTTTCATGACTCTAGGTCAAATACTTTTTGAGTTACGTGCGACACAAGTTGAAAATTGCAAAATTTTACTAAGTCAAGGGCAATAACTCTGAAAATACTAAAAATATCCAGACGAAAATACCCAGGTGCACAACTACACATGCTGATCAACATTCCTGTAAAGTTTCATGACTCTAGGTCAAATACTTTTTGAGTTACGTGCGACACAAAAGTGAACGGACGGACGGAAGGACGGACGGACGGACAAGGGTAAATCTAAATGCCCGCCACTAACGTGGGGGCACAATAATTTGCCATATAAAACTCATACTTTGAATCTGGAAATGTAAATTGTTAGTGTAAGATATTTCAGTACCTAAAGAGCTGTCACATGACAGCAACCATGACTCTATTAAAGGTCCAGTTGTTAGTTGTGTCCTAGTTTGAATAATTAATAAATTACAAGGGTATGGATATTCAAAGGTCTAGGGTAATTCATTCAGGGGTCAAAGGTATGATCATTCAGGCATAAAGGGATCAAGGATGAATACATATTTTTTTGGTTGGTTGGGTTTATAATACATTGCATCAACACAGTATAGGTCATATAGTGACTTTTCAGCTTTACTCAGCTGGCCCTCTACATTATTTCAGGCACAAACGGGGTTAAGGGTATACTCATTCAGGCGTAAAGGGTAAAGTCAATCAAGGGTCAGGTGTTTATCATTTGGGTAAAAGTTATTGTCATTCAAGAGTCAAGGCTTTGGTCATTCAGAGGTAAAGAGTATGGTCATTCAGGGGTAAAGAGTATGGTCATTCATGGGCAAAGATCATGGTCATTCATTGGTCAAGGGTAATGTCATTAATGAGTAAAGGGTATGGTCCTTGATGGGTCAAAAGGTATTTTGTAATACTCTAAAATTAAGCTCTTATCTAGATGAATTGGTACATTTATGTCCAAGGCTTTATCTTGTGGAATTTTATTGATGTGCCAAAATTGTTTTAGATGACAGCAGAAAGGCACACAATTTATTTTTAGCCTCAGTGACTGTACTGTGACATTGACGACTATAAATTCACAAAAAGTCAAATTCCCTGATGTACATAATACTCACAGATATGAATCAACAAGTCATGGTGTATTGGTAAGTAAAAAAGATGCATATACAAGTCCATGGCAAAACACCCACTTCCTGCAGGATACCAACCAACAACTCAACCCCCCAAAACTGATAGCTCCAATTTTGAAGCAGTCATTACATAAATCCACTATTTTTCTTATTGGCCTTAAAAGCTATGTTAAAAAAAAAATACCATATGCAGAAATATCATGACCTAACCTTACTCTGAGTTTACTTCCAACTTATTTATATTTATTAAAACCTGTAGAGGAAAAAATTCTCTATTTTTGAATTTACTAGTAACCTCATACCGGCAAAATGTCAATGTAGATTTAATGCTGCATCTTAAAATTGAAAACAGGTGCCTGTTATTTAAAGGTCAGCTGTAAAGTGATGTATAAACCTAATTAAAAGATATTCCTAGCATTTGACATTTATACAATTTAATGTCATACAGTCACGAAACTTAAACTTACATGAAACTAAAATCCCTTATCAAGGAAGAGAAGAAAAATTTATGGCTCTATCAATTTTAATGAGAAAACTTCATTTCTGTCTAAATTTCTTTAATTTTTATTAAAATACAGAAAAACTTGTGCTTAAAAAGTTTTTCCCTATAAACATAATTCAAGTTATTTCTTTATGAAATTTTCAATTAACATCAGTAGTACAAAGTCAAATATTTTGAGCTTAAAAATGCATGGTAAAATTCTAGGTAATGTTTCAGTTTGGGCATTATCTTAAACAAATCAGATCATCTAAATGACAGTTTGTACTCTTAGTATCTAATTTCAAGGGATTATTTGATAATTTACCTTTAAAATACTGGTTTAACTTAATCTTATACAATATTATAAGGGACAAAGTCAATTAACTTTTTTCATAAAACCAACTTGAATCAATGAACTCTTACTCTATTTCTATAGACTAGCACTATCACCTATTCTGTGAAGACTGGTCAGTTGGAACTGCAGTTCTTTTTTTTAATACATTACCCATTCTTAATTAAATGAGGGATAACAAAGTTAGTGATCATGTTGACTTATTGCTGCTTATTTGTTTAATAATTTGTCAATGCTGTGAAAATCCAGAGATTTATGTATAACTTCACCATGGCAGCATCTGACAAGATTAAATTCACATCTATTCTGTAGAAAGGATAAAGAGCAAGTCTGGTAATAATCATCAACTCTTGGGTAATATCCAATTGATTTTTAAAGGTTTTTCTTACCTTTCTAATCAGGTAGCTTTTCAATAGTGCTTGTTAATGGACAAATTAAGGTAAAAGGGTAAGGGAGGGTGTATATTTATTTCAGCAAAACAAATCAGGAAATATTTGCATCAAAGAATGAAGTTCACAGTCAATCAATTATTCAATGGGTGCATGATATCAATAATTTGTGATCGTCCTACTGTGAGGCCAGTGTCGGGCCAAAGAACAACCTTTTTGTGACTACAATGGTAATGTTATTATACAAGGCCACTTGTAGTGTCCTGCAGGCTGCAGTCACTGCTGATAAATTGGTATCATCTAACAAAATGTCCAGATCACTGAAACTCCTGATCCTACTATTTTCAGGTCTGATAACATAAACTGATAAAGGTTACAAGTCTTAAACTGAAAGGCTTAGAGCTTTATCTATTTATAAATGTACAAGCTTGCTTGCATGTCAATTAATTTTGCAATGCAATGCAATCGGTTGTAAATGACAGATTTTTATAATTATCACAGTGGAAACGTTAAAATAATACTTACAGTAATTGTTTGAAGACATGATGGCTATTTTTCAAATCTGTCACTGTTCCATCAAGGGGGTCCAGAGCTGTTCAGACTGTGACGCAAAAACATCACATTCACACTGGTCTTCAATCTCCCAAATAATCTCCAAAGCAACCAGTCCACTTCTAAATATAGCCTCAAATCTGATTTATTGCCTTTAAACCAGTCCACAGTGTCTAAAAATAGACCCAATTCCTGATAATCAAGAGCAGGCTGATTCTTTACTAGATTGTTGCAGAAAAAATCAATTCCCTCCTAGAAGAAAATAACAAAGCAAAAATTACTTTCAGCTCATTGCAAGCAACACTGACAGCCGATTGGCATTTTGTTCGTATAAGAAAATAACAATTCCTTTATTTAGAAACAGATATCTAAATATAGTTCAAAATAGTTGGAGAGAGATTCTCTATAATTTCAGATAAACAAGTCCTTAACAAATTTTTTTTTACAGGAAATCACTTTGAAGAATTCCATATATGGACATGATGGACAATTTGATTTCTCTAAGTTTATGCCCATCTAAAAAGAGTGCTGATATTTTTTTAAGACTTCAAACTCATATTTTTACATGGATCTTTAATGAAGTTATTTTATTTTCCAATCAAAATTCTATAAGGTAACTGAAGTCAATCAATGCAAGTAAAATTACAATATAAACAGAAAAACTATATCAATAAACTTTATCTTCGCAGAAAGCTGGAGATAAGGTACCAAAACAGAGGGCACATATGAACATCTTTTTTCTGTATTTTAGCTCATGCTCATAAAGTGTTATTGGTAAAATATTAAAATAACTTTTGATCAATTTAAGTTTTTCATGCAATTTAAGTACATGTAATCAGCTAATGTCACAGCATGACCACAAGTCACAGTTCAAGGATTATAACTGTAAAAATGCTCTTCAACGACAAATATTTATAATGATTGAAGATATTGAAATTAACTTAGACAGGGCTTAATGCAGATCTACATGTAAGAAAAAAGAAGATCAGAACTTTACTTAGATTGTAAAGCTCTACTAATTGCAGACAGACAGGGAGTTTAGTAAGTAGATTACTATTACAAACTACAGAAGTAAGTCAATATGACATCATTTGTGAATATTTGGGTTAAATAGGTCATCAGGTCAGATTAATATCTGATCGCCACTACATTATAACTACATTTGTACCAAAAAAGTCCGATTTAATCTTTTTGTTACGCTTGTATATCATAATATACCAAACAAGAGGGCCATGATGAGGTAGATACCTTTAAAACTAAAGTTGCAGTAAAAAATAACATTTTTCAAGTAAAACAAGGGTGCCATAGTCACAAAATACGCCCGTTTACGAAAGCTTTAGATGGAGATGGGGGCATTATGGATAAGTGTTATCTAGCAAGCAAGTTTTTATTCTTGGCACTGTGTTGTTAAATGAACCTTAAAACAAATCAGTAGGCAAGATATGCACAGGATGTGTGACCTTGACCTTGGTCGCAGGGACCTGAATTTTATGCACGACACTCAGCCTCACAATGATGAACATTTGTGCCAAATTATATTGAAATCCCTCTATGCATGTAGAAGTTTTGCTCCAGACAAGCTTTTTTTCTATGAGCTCTAACTGTGACCTTCACCTTTGACCTAGAGACTTGGTTCATGTGCAGGGCACTACGTTTCATGGTGGTGAACAATTCTATAAAGTAACATTAAAATTCCTCCATGCATGTAGAAAATATGATCCGGACAACATCTGGATATTTAATCATCTCCAGTGACCTTGACCTTGCAAATAATAACCTTAATTAAATGTGTCACACCTGTAGTCATGATAGTTACCATTTGTGCTACAATCCATCAATAAATGATGACTAAATGGTCCGTATACACATCTTCAAATTTTTATCTGAACTTTGACCTCTATGTGTAACCTTGACTTTGGTCACAGGGATCTGAATTTTGCATGCAACACTCAGCCTCACAATGGTGAACATTTGTGCCAAGTTATATTGAAATCCCCCTATGAATGTAGAAGTTTTGCTCCGGACAAGTGTTTTTCAATGAGCTTTAAGTTTGACCTTGACCTTTGACCTGGATCATGCATGGAGCAATACATATCATGGTGGTGAACATTTCCATAAAGTATTATAAAAATTCTTCCATACATGTAGGAGATATGCTCCAGACAAAATCTGGATATTTCACCATCTTTAGTGACCTTGACCTTGCATATATTGACCTAAAGTACAGGTGTCACAGCTGTAGTCATGATAATGACCATTTGTGTTACAATCCCTCAATAAATGATGATTAAATCGTCCTTATACACATTTTCATATTTTTATCTAAACTTTGACCTCTATGTGTGACCTTGACCTTGGCTGCAGGGACCTGAATTTTGTGCGCGACACTCCGTCTCACAATGGTGAACATTTGTGCCAAGTTATATTGAAATCCCTCCATGCATGTGGAAGCTTTGCTCCGGACAAGCGTTTTTCAATGAGCTCTAAGTGTAACCTTGACCTTTGACCTAAAGACCTAGTTCATGTGCCTGACATGGCTCCTCGTAATGGTGAACATTTCTATGAAATTTCATTAAAATCCCTCCATGCGTGTAGGAGATATGCTCCGGACAAAAATCTGGATATTTCATCATCTTTAGTAACCTTGACCTTGTATATATTGACCTAAATTATATGTATCACAGTCATAGTCTTGATAATGACCATTTGTGTTACAATCCCTCAATAAATGATGACTAAATGGTCCATATACACATCTTCATATTTTTATCTGAACTTTGACCTCTATGTGTGACCTTGACCTTGGCCGCAAGGACCTGAATCTTGCGCGACACTCCGCCTCACAATGGTGAACATTTGTGCCAAGTAATATTGAAATCCCTCTATACATGTGGAAGTTTTGCTTCGGCAAGCATTTTTCAATGAGCTCTAAGTGTGACCTTGACCTTTGACCTAGAGACCTGGTTCATGTGCGCGACACTGCTCCTCATAGTGGTGAACATTTCTATGAAGTTTCATTAAAATCCCTCCATACATGTAGGAGATATGCTCCGGACAAAATTGGACGCCGCCTGCCCCCCCGCCAGGGGCGTTCCCATAATACGTCCCGTTTTTCAAACGGGCGTATAATAATCTAAGTTAATAGGGAGATAATTCTTGCAATATTGGTGCTAGAGTTATGAACCTTGTCACATAAGATCTGGTTAATGATAAGGAGCATATATTTGAAGTACTAAGTTGATCCATTAAGAAATAAAGAAAAACAGTAAAAAATAATATTTTTTAAGGAAAAATTCTAAGTTCAAAGGGAGATAAATCTGAAAATATTGGTGCTAGAGTTTTGAACCTTGTCCAATAAGATGTGGTTGATGATAAGGAACATGTATTTTAAGGATGAAGTTGATCACTTAAGAAGTAAAGAAGTAATAGTAAAAAATATTCTTATTTTTTTTTTAAAGGAAAATTCTAAATTAAAGAGGAGATAAATCTAAAATATTGGTGCTAGCGTTGTGAACCTTGTCACATAAGATGTGGTCGATGATAAGGAACTCATATTTGAAGTTTGAAGATGATATCTTAAGAAATGAAAAAGTTATAATAATATTCAACTGCACCAAAACTTTAATCTGAAATCTGGACACTGAAGCCTGTGTGAGTAAGTCAGCTCTCCATATACTTCATATAGTCGAGCTAAAAACTGGTCAGATCTGATGACTCATGGTTAATTCTAGAAAATTAGAGTGACCTTGATTTGACCAAGTAACTGGTGTGTTCGCCCCCATTTTCAAAAAAAGTCACTGATCATAGATATATTTAGGTCTATGGTCCATAAAGTCTTAACCATATTTCTTGCACAAGGCAAAAATTATTTGATGAGGTGGAAAGCGGACCCAAAACAGACACGTGAATACACCATTTACATTTTCAATTTTAAAATTTGCGTCAGTTCTACTGTTTTAGAACTGTCTGCCTACTTTACTAAATATTACAACCCTTATAAACCTGAAATTCTGGATCTACCCCTGCTAGTAATGCTATTTGTTCTGACTAAAGGTTACTCTCAGCAATGAGTATCATTAATGAACATAAAAAATTTTGCAACAAGTTTAGCTTTCATCCCTGCTGGTGGCAACTGTTGTGACCCATGTGACCAGTGCATACCAAGATTGGCTTGTACATCTGATCGTGATTCAATCAAGTAATACTAAAATCCTTCCATACATGTAAGATACAGGATGCAGGCTGCCCACCAGCCAGTCTGCATGCATACTCATAATGTTTTTCAAACAAGAGTATAAAAAGAACATTGAATTTTGTAGCATAGTAATTGTCCAGTTTGTGTTAAACTATAATATCTTACGCAATCTTTTTTAAGATGAACAATTTCAGAAAGACCACTCAGTGCACATATTAACCCTTTGCCTGCTGGGTGCAAAAGTGACCCGCCTTTGCCACCAGTATAGAGCCAGGCCAGCCATCTTCAAGTTCTTATCTTGATATCCCTAAAAATGATAATGGATACTTCCAAAAATGGAAGGTGGAAAGTCCATTACAGAAATTCAGCAGGCTAAGGGTTAAAGTGACTTTCACTTGTAAGATATGAACAGAGAAAGATTAACCTGGCTGTTATGAGAAATTAAACAAAGGGAGACAACTCAAGCAGACTTAATTTCACAGCATTTTAATCGAGTCAGGATGTCATAAAGTTATGATAGTTTGTAATCATTCATATTGAATTATTTAAAACCTTAAGGTAACAGTAATATCATCCTTTTTTTCATTTTTTACCAAAGTACAATCAGACTCCTTCCCCTTTGAGCATAGCATTTCCTTACTTCTTACTATGTATTCCTGATGCATGTCCATCACCAAGAGAAATATCCATTAAAACAGGAATTTTAAATAATTAAATACTACCCATTTGTATGAGCTTTAGTGTGCACCCTATATTTTTTGGATTTAACTCAATACAGGATTGGAGCAGTACCTCCAGACGCTTGCAAAAATCATTATCAGGAAATAGACAAATATTGTTTGTTTTTTTCGCCGCTTTTTAAATTTTTCATTCATTATCATACATAAATCAGTGTGAAAAGATGAATTAGACCTTTTAAATTTCATTCCATTGGGTAAAAAGGCAAGATTTTAAGCATTTTATCATTCAAGCACCGTGTCCGGTATATACCGGATTATACGGTATTTAGTGTGATGCTCCAATCCTTTTTTTAGTCTCACTCATATTTTTTTGCTTCAAATTGTAACATTTACTGCATTTGTTAATGTATATCAGAACCAGTTGCGGTCCTTATGTTTGAAGGTCACATGTAACATTAACACTATGTATCTACATGATATTTAACAACCTTTACTACCAAATGACAATGTCTAGAAGAGAGATGGTCCAGTTTAAGTTCATAATGTTACTGGTATAGTTGAAACAGCCATACAATACTTATTTTTTTTTACCTTTTGTTTCTCATAATCAACCCCTTCAATTTGTATAATTACCATGTTGCTGTATTAATTACATATTAAAATGTTTCATCAGAGTTAGTACCTGAATCTACTTTTAGCCATTTTTCTATTATAAATTCAATGCGTTATTTGATTATTTAATAGTTCATTGCAGTTTTATATTGATTGGCCGACATTTTCATCGTGATAATCCTAAAATTGGTAAACAACTGTTCAACAGTTCTGAAAATGGGAGCTGGACAATAACATTTAAGAGATTTAGCAGGTTAAGGGTATTGAACACCAGAATACCATTTCGCATCCCTACTGACTGGGCTATCAGGGTTCTTACACATCTTTTCTGCTAAAAAGTGAACAGTTCTAAAAAGTGAAATACTTCCCCGCTATATTGTCAATTTAAAATTCATTCTCAATTTTCTCAGGTTTACAGAGCAATGTGAATTTAACTCTGAGCTATATACAGTCACGGTCCCCTGTTGGGTGCCAAATGTCACAACATTAGAAAAATGTGCAGCCTGACCCGGATTAAAACCCTGGAACCCCCAGAATCAAGCTCCACAGCTCTATCATCTGAGTTATCTGGCTGCCTACACATCTTCTCCCCTAAATAGTGAACAGTTCTGGAACACCATGACATTCTCCCTTTCACTGGCCACTAATGTGTCTCAGGGTAGAATAATTACTATAACTCCTGGCTTAGGTTTGTCAACATAATAGTATATATATCAATATGCAGAAAAAAGCATAAAACATAAATATGCAATTAATACAAGTTAATTAAAATACATTTCTTGCATATCTAAGACACAACTATCTACTAGCAAGTGATGCAAGAAACTTTAATCTACATCGTCTCTGTAAGGCAAGTTGCTTGCATTAAAATGAGGATCATTCAGAACCTTCAGTCAATAAAATTGCTTGCCAGGACCGAGATTCATACTACAGAGGGATAAGAAGCTCTAAAATTTTCCAATCCTGACCCACAATCCTTGGCACAAGATTCATTGGGCACTGAAGTTGATCATTTCTGTCATTAATATTTGATTTACGTAACCAGATGTGTTTACATTTATATTAATTAATTAAAATAATTTACATCTTTTTAATCTTTGCTTTTTTTTTTACTTATTTTGCATATTTGACATGTTTTGCAACTTCTTTTTTTTGTAACTTCTTTTGATTACTTTAACTAAGATTAGATAACATGGCAGCTTAATTATCGGTAAACTTTAATTCTTACAGATCTGTCAATACATGGTCTCAGAAAATCTCACAAAAATTGCTGATAATAAATCCCTGGATGCAGATTTTTTAAGTGAATGACGTCATAGATTCCTCTCCATTTAAACATAGTTCTACGCTTAGGATGATCATTGATGAGTATGATGACATCATTTTTACGAGTTAAGTTGTAAATTCATAGGCTATTCTAGGAAAAAATAAGAACAAAGTGTTATATAAGGTGACATAACAATTCATTGACACTTTGCCCTACTTTATTTTAAACATTTTCTGTTTATTTTGGATAGAAAAATGTTTACAGTTTTGGGTTTGTTTGTTTGTTTTTTTAATTTATTTGATATATACTATTTACAAACTTATGTCATTCATATGGTAGAATAGTGATAGCAAGAATGTCAAGGAATGGGGCAAAAATTAATTGGGAGTATGAAATATTGGTATGAAACATAATGTTTTATTGCGGGCTTATTTTATTGTTTAAATATTGCCAATATTTAAACAATATATACTACTGAGATTGCCTATATTATTGGCAATCTCAGTAGGAATTATATACAACTTAAAATTTTGAATCAAGAATTTCATTCGGACATAATAATAACATGCCAAAGTTTTATTGAATTAAGTCCACACATAATCTTCAGTAAATTGGGGGAATTGTGGTAATCCACAAAAAAGAAGGCTTCTTAACAGTTGGAGTCAATGCACTGCTTCAGAATCATTTTTCTTTCAAACAAATCAGCGACAGTTCTCATGGAAACCATTAGATAAGTATCATTTGACATTAACAGCATCGTTATATTTACGATAACGTGTTCATTGAAACCATTTGACATGAAAGTTTGACGTACTACCTTGCACCGCTAGCGTAAATTTCATAATACAAGTTGTTTACCACGGAAAATTGATCGTTTTTTCTCAATTAAGCGAACTTGCAATAATCAAAATGGCATATACACAGTAAATACTGATACGTTTTCGGTTGTCTTTTATCAATCACTTAAAACTTTATCAGTTCCAAACAAAACGCATAAGTATTTTGGCCAAAAACTTACAGATTTTTAACGTTTCTAGACGGAAAACTTATTTTGCTGTCAACAGTTCGCCATCTTTGATGATCACGTGGTACAAATAGACCAATCATATGTCAAAATAATAATCCTTAAAATAGACCAATTGACGCATGTATGTTCTATTTTTAGCCTTCTCCGACCTGCTTTTTTGGCCGCACGCTTGCAAAGGGAGAGAAATCGAGTAAATTTTAGTTACTTTGATAGTAACTAAATCATTGTCAAGTTGAGCTGGACTGACTTTATATTTAATAAGATCGGATGTAAAATGTTAAGGATAAAATATAAATTGCATATTTTGTAAATTATAAGACTGCCCCCTCTTTTTTTATATTATTAGAAATGTTATATAGGTATTTACATAATTTCCTTGATCATTACATATGTCCCTCGTTCATGAGTGTAAATTTATTTTTACTTTTACCTGTTCATTCATTTTATACTTTTGGATTGGCACAATGTCACTTAGGGACGATCAAGGGTACATTCAACAGCATCATTTCAAATGAGTGTGTTTTTCTATCAATTTATATGGAATATTATTTTAGTTAATAAGAGTGAAAAAGTCATTTTAAAACGTTGGCATTGGTTACAGGCAATCTTCATTTCAATTAAGTTGGAACGATGCATTTTTTTTTTTCATAGCAGATGCAGGGGACGAACAAGCTGCTTCCTTTACCAGGGAAGTGAGGACGTGTGTTACATGGTGGGCCGACTCGGCACTTGCGCGGGACCGTTCAAAGGCTCCTGAAACACTTCTGGGCACATCAATTACCACTGGTTAATGAGCAGTTCTATCCCAATGTCCGGTTGTTAGGTAAAGCTGCTTATATTACTATGGCAGTGACTACGGCTACAGCAGAACGGTCATGCAGTAACACAAAAGACTGAAAAACATATCTCAGATCTACCATAGCTACTGAAAGATTGTCTGGGCTAAATATGGATATTTATAGAAACATGGAAATTAACTCTGGGTACAAAGTGTATAAATTTGCTGCTAGAAAATATCGTTGCTTTATCTGTTCAGAAAAAAATTTTCTGAGTTAGAACATCATTACAAGATAAGATGGTTTGAAGGGGAATTAAATGTGATGTCAAATGACACCAGATTGTGTTATTTTGCATTAAAAAATTTATAATTTTCTCCGGGTGGAAAACCCCCGAATCCCGTACGTAACATAGAAGCTTATTTCATAGGAATATGTCTATAATGAGCTAAAATATGCCGATGTTTCGCCATACCCACCGTCCCGACATGTTCCATGATATAAAATGAACCATTGGCTTGATTATGTACAAGCCATTCATTTTACATGTATTTATTTTATATTATCTACAGACAAAAATTATTTTAAAGCATTGTCAAACCCTTGTTGTCACAATATGAAACCCCGGGAAAAAGTAACCAATGAACGAGCATCTGAATTCGATATTTCTGTCGCTTTTTCTTTCTCTTCCGTCACAATAAGTAAACCCCAGCAAAAATGAGCCAATCAATGGGCATGCTCTGGAGTGCGGATAACTAATACCTGCACTCCAGTTTACGCACTGTGCATGTATATGTATACGATTTAACTCTAACACATTTTCAACAGAAAGGCCCCCAAACTATGATACAAAATATGTAATAGAGTAACAGTATTTTTGTGTTGTTGTTGTCTTAACCCATTACTTCATATAGACGTCTTTTCACGCCAGTTCTCCCCCTTTTCTTGTGGCCTCAGATGTTGAAAAAATTTAGACCCCAAACCATTGTTTTCGTTTGGGAAATGTTGTTAAAAAAGTGACCACTCCCATATCAAAAAGATACATCAGAAGGTGCCAGAGGGATATATCTTAGCCCCCTCGTCGCCAAGAAGATTGTGGACCTGTTAGTGCCTAAAATTGGTCCCAGGTCGATTTTAAGGTAACGTGTAACTAATACTGACAAGAACCGGTTGAACCGGGTGATGCTCCCCGAGAAGGTTTTGGACACAGGAAAGTATAAAAAAAAATGAACAAAGGCCAAAAACTCCAAAATTAGGCAAGGCAGAGTTTGTTTTTTTTGCACTGCACTTCTATTCAATGAGATCTTTCTTTCTATCAAGTTTCGTGATGATATCTTTTATAGTTTCAGAGTTATGTCCCGGGTAAAATTCAAAGTGTAAAAATGAACAAAGGGCAATTACTCCAAAATTAGACATGGCTGTGCATTGCAGTTCTATCCAATGAGATCTATCTACCTACAAAGTTTCATTTTGATAACTCTAATAGCTTTAGAGTTATGTCCCGGATAAAAGTCAAAAAAGTAAAAAATAAACAAAGGTAAATAACTTCAAAATAAGGCAAGGCAGAGTTGTAGTTCTTGAGCAATGCACTTCTACTCAATGAGACCTATTTACCTACAAAGTTTCATGTTGATATATCTTATAATTTTAGAGTAATGACCCGGACAAAGTTCAAAGTGTCAAAATGAACAAAGGGCAATAACTCCAAAATTAGACAAGACAAAGTTATAGTTCTTTAACAATGCACTTCTACTAAATGATAGGTATCTACCTACAAAGTGTCTTGTTGATTTCTCTTATATTTTTAGAGTTATGTCCCGGACAAGTTCAAAGTGTAAAAATAAACAAAAGACTATAATTCAAAAAATAGGCAAGGCAGAGTTATGGTTCTTGTGCATTGCGCACCTACTCATTGAGATCTATCTACTTACAAAGTTTCATGTTGATACCTCTTATATTTTTAGAGTTATATCCCGGACAAAGTTCAAAGTGTAAAAATAAATAAAGGGCAATTATTCAAAAATTAGGCAAGGCAGAGTAACGGTTCTTGTGCACTGCACACGTTCTCAATGAGATTTATCTAACTATAAAGTTTCATGTTGTTTCAAAGTTATGTCCCGGATAAGAAAAGCGGGCGGACATTCCAACATTTTGGGTTTAGGGGCTATTTTCTTTGTTATTTTCTTTGTTTTCTTAAGGGCTACTAGCCACTAAACCCTTTGACCTATTATTCTCTTTTGTTCTCTTTACTGTTTTATAGCCCAAAAACCCAAAATGTTTGCTCGGAAGGACGGACGGACAAAGCGGCGACTATATGCTCACCCTTCAGGGAGCATAAAAATCCTTTGACTCTATATCTCAATTAATTAAGAAGTTGCAGCACTTCGAAATCAGTTTTGATAGAAAAAAAAAAACCCCAACGAAAAATAGTTTTGGTATTCTTTTTTGCAAATTATTGATGTCCCAGGAAATTTAAGATTGAGCATGCCGTAACAGAGGCTATGGTGTCAACATTTGTGCCCAGCATCTTTTTAAGTTTCATAGAAATTTGAACTTGTGACAGGAGGCTTTTCAATGAAATCAGCTATTTTCACATAATAATTATTATTATATGCTCTATAATGGGTTAATTTTTATTGAATAAAATGCCGATAATTAAGTCAATAAAAACGGTATAAGGTAATGAAAATGAATTTCTAAATCTTCATTCGCAATCAGTCCTCCTATTGTTTTAACTTTGACATTAAAAGTCGGTAGCTTTATGTATATCAAAACGACCATTTCATAACCAGTGCTGGAAAAGTATAGAATAGCTTTACTTTATAATATTAAGAGTTATAAAGAGTTGACCCATAAGAGCCAATCATTGTTTACTTTGTGATTGGACATGTTCATGAAATAAATTATGACGTATGGTTGGATTGTCTAAAATACTTGTTGAATCTCGTCCGTGGCCGAGTGGTTAAGGTCGTTGACTTCAAACCACTTGCCCCTAACCGCTGTGGGTTCGAATCCCGACAGGGACTTTGGATTCTTTCATGTGAGGAAGCTATCCAGCTAGCTTACGTAACGTCGGTGGTTCTACTCAGGTGCCCGTTCGTGCCTGAAATAATGCACAAAAGGGCACCTGAGGTATTCCTCCACCAGTAAAGCACGGAAGGGCACCTGAGGTCTTCCTCCACCAGTAAAGCTGGAACGTCGCCATATGACCTAAACTGTGTCGGTGTGACGTAAAACCCAATCAAAGAAATAAGTAAATCACTTGTTGAAAAATGCGCGTCCGTATTGTGGTGCCGCCATAATGTTGAAATCAGTTTAAGTTTTCTAGATCTGCAAAGAAAATCAAATGCAACTGTTTCAAATAAATGTATATACATATATCTTTCTTTTCTGAAGGAAAAAACAACAACAAAAAAAAATTGGTGAACATTTAAACTCGTCACATAGTAATACGGTTATAATTACTGCATGAAAAAATCAAATCAAAGAACTTAAAGCTGCAGTGCCTCCAGATGAGCTGCATATTTTGAGCTCTATTTGGTAAGTTACTAGTCTTTCTATATTTTTTTTATGATATAGAAACCTTTTATTATCTATTTCTATGCACTTTTGGTCCTTAAGACAAACTTCATTTTAAGTGAATTGTATTTTATTTCACTTTGACAAGAGCTTATTGCATACTCAGTTTAGTAGTTTAATGCTTTAAAATCGTTTGAATATTTTGATAAAAATTAACATGTCTTTTTTGACATTTTAGGAATATTTTATTTCCGTGGAAATATTGACTAGAACTTTTATAAGTACAGTTCTTCTCCCACACAGTTGTAAATATGAGCTGAAAATAAATTAAACATTTTGAGCCTGTGTCAACACTTGGTAAATTAATATTACCTTGTTTATTTCTCATTTATCTTTAAGAATCATCGCTAGTTTTACTTTTCATTTATTTTGAAATCATTTAAAACAGACTTACAGATCCCTATAGTTAGAACAATGACGAGAGGCATATTAAAACGGGGAAAAAATAATACTCATTTCCAACACTGTACATGTCGTATATAGAAATCATATTAAAAAAACGGTTCCATAAAAAAGATTAATAATTATGTATTACATGTAACTGGTGTTATTGCATAGAAATGTTTTTGTTACTGTAGAGATGGAGATGAAACTCTTAAAAATCACTTTAATTTTCTTTTGCCCAGTTTCTTTTTCAAACTCGATGTAGGACTGAATAGAATTTAGGTTAGTTTATTTCAAATGGTTTTAGTTATGTAACAATG